GTGTGTATTAAAATTAATATTTCATGTGGTAAAATTTTTTTTTTTCATACTTTGGGGTGTCAGGAACGGATTGATTTGATTTCCATTATTTCTTATGGGGAAAATTAATTTGGCTAACGATAATTTCGGCTTACGATGAGCTCTCAGGAACTGATTAACCCTTTCAGGGTCCGTCCCGTAGATCTACGGCTTTACGTTCAGGGTCCAAACCGTAGATCTACGCCATGAGCTCAGCTCACTCTGATAAACTGTGAGTGGTACATTTGGGCCTAGATATGAGAGAATACATCTATGTGGTATGTGTGCACCACATAAAACAGATCCTGCAGCACACTGTGTATAATGAGAGAAAAAAAATGAAATCATGATTTTTCGATTAAAACAGCAACTTTGCAGTGTTTTTTCGTATGGTTTTTATAGTTGTATTTGCGATTTCTTGGTCTCATTTGATAGAATGGAAGACATATTACAGAAATAGAGATGATTTTGATTGGTTTTAGCATTGGAAATGGCTTGAAACTGAGCTCAAAGTAGCGGAAATTGTAAATTTTTGCCGATATTCAAGAGTAAACAAACGACCTCACACGTCTAATACACGCCAGCTGGTGGGTCTAATAGACATTCACAAATATGGTGATGATATTTATACAATTATTACAGTATTGCATAACAGTAAATCTTCTATTTTTTGGTGTGAATAAAAATTCATTATGTGAATAAAAAATCAAAATGGAATTTATTTGTAAAAGATTCTCTACGATTTCATAAGAAAAAATAACAAATTTTTTTTTTTTAAATTCTTGGACACTGGTGCGTGACTCCAGATTTGGGCCTTGGACCCTGAAAGGGTTAATATCGTAAGGTGGGGGTCCACTGTATTTAACTTTGGATTGTATTGTACTAATTGTCATAGACTGCACATACTAGAGAATAAAAAATAAAGTAGTTAACTAATGGAGGACTGCAAAAGATAGTTCTTTCTTTCTTTCAACGCACCAGCCATATCCCACTGAAGTAGGGTGGCTGAAAAGGAAAAACGGAAGTTTCTCTTTTTAAATTTAGAAATATATACAGGGGAAGGGGTTACTAGCCCCTTGCTCCTGGCATTTTAGTCGCCTCTTACAATGTGCATGGCTTACGGAGGAAGAATTCTGTTCCACTTCCCCATGGAGGTAAGAAGAAATAAACAAGAACAGGAACTAGTAAGAAAATAGAAGAAAACCCAGAGGGGTGTGTATATATATGCTTGTACATGTATGTGTAGTGTGATCTAAGTTTAAGTAGATAGTTCTTTCTTTCTTCTTTCAACACACCGGCCGTATCCCACCAAGGCGGGGTGGCCCAAAAGGAAAAACCAAAGTTTCTCCTTTCAAATTTAGTAATATATACAGGAGAAGGGGTTACTAGCCCCTTGCTCCCGGCATTTTAGTCGCCTCTTACAACGTGCATGGCTTACGGAGGAAGAATTCTGTTCCACTTCCCCATGGAGGTAAGAAGAAATAAACAAGAACAGGAACTAGTAAGAAAATAGAAGAAAACCCAGAGGGGTGTGTATATATATGCTTGTACATGTATGTGTAGTGTGATCTAAGTGTAAGTAGATAGTTACAAACATATAAAAAAAAACAGAAATGTATATCTTTTTAGGCAAACAAGATGGTGATCTTGAGGTGTTTAACAAGAATATAAAATATGAGGTAGTGATTGGACAGCTTAGAATCACTGCTGTCAGCTTGACAATATGGAAATGAGAATTAGGTTTTACAGAAAAAAATTGGATGAAAAATTTTTTTAATCTCATAACACTTGTGGAAGTGGGTACAAACTGTATTTTTATTCTGACTCGGTTAGGCCAGCTTCGCTTAGGAATTTTATTAGTTCATGTGTGGTAGAAATTAAGTATCTCTTTCCTGTTGATTCCTTCTTGACTGCAATTTTGCCATCCCTTGCAAAGCACTGGTAAATTTTGTTGTCATATCGTAGCTTTCGTAATCTGTAAAGGAGAGTTTGTCTTATTTTTGTCAGGCACTTGTTGACATAAATACTTGTTTTCATATTAATAGATGTTCTTAACAGTTCACTTCGTTGTGAGCTAGAGTTGAACTTTAGTACCACTGATTCTTCCCAGTTTGATGACCTATCACTTTACATTCCTTAATATCATCACTAGGTATTCTGAGTTGAAGATGGTCTTAGGTAAGTTGTAAGGTGGTTTGTTTGCATGTTTCTTGGGTTACATTTGTAGGTAGAAGGTTGCTATTTTCTACAGCTGAGTCACATAGTTGTTGTTGTTCAAAGTGGTCTTGGAAATTGTTCATAACGTCAGTAAGTTGAAGGTCTACTCTTTCTCTCTCTGTCTTGATGTTGGTATTTAGTTGGGCTACCTGATCTTTTAGACTGTTGATGGTATCCAGACTGGGTATGGGTGCTGCTTAGATGTTCCAGTGTGCTTAGTTTATGTTCTAGAGTTGTGATCTTGCCAAGGTACTGTGTGTTAGAGGTTTGTAATTCTTTAACTTCTTGGGTTAATGTGTCATTGGAGGTTTTAAGTTCCTGCATTTCCTGGGTTAGCTTGATGATTGTTTGGTTCTGGATCCTAAGAAGTTTTGCTATTACTGGGTCCGTAATGTTCGTATCATCAAATCCAAGGAAGGAGTTATCTCAGGCGTTCATGGAGGCGGCCGTGTTTGTTGTTGTCTGGTGAGTGTCGTGGTGGTGCCGGTGAGTGTTGAGGATTGTGTCTTGGCTGGCAGTAGGAGAAGGTTTCCTTACAGTAATGCTTCTCCCACCTGTGGTGTTAGGAATTACTGGGTCTTCGTTTGTTGCCCTGACCCTTGACCATTGACAGCATTTCAGATGAATTGTAGATAATGAGTGAATATTGTGGATTTTCCCTTCGTCTGGCAGTGGGGCAGGTGGTGGAAACACAAGTCTTCTTTGTTGGTAATTTTGCGTATTTTTGGGTGATTTCTACAGTTGGTCTATATCATTCTGGGTCTCCACGTATGTCATTGTTATGTGGGTCTTTACTAGACCATCTCAGGGTTGTTGGGAACCTCAGGTGGAACTAAAATAGATGAGCAAGGTTCTTGCTGCTGTCGCTGCCTCGTATGGGACACAACTGGAAGTTATAAACTCAGATGAGTCATAGGGATGTTAGGAAATATTTTTTCAGTCATTGAGTTGTCAGGAAGTGGAAGTTTGGAGAGATGTAGGAGGAGATGGAGGCAGGATTCATATGTAGCTTTAAGAAAAGATCGGATAAAACTCATTGAGTAGGGAGAGTGGACCTAGTAGTGACCTAATAGCGACCAGGAGCTGTGAATCGACCCTTGCAGCCACAAATAGGCGAGTACAAATAGGTAGGTAACCCCTCCCCCACACTATTACTACCACCACTATTCACACATACAGTGGAACCTCGGTTGTCGAACGGTCTAGTTGTCAAACATATCAGTTCGAAAACCAATTTGCTTGATTCGGTTTTCGCACATGGTCTTGGTTGTCGACCGACACTGTTTGAATCACGTGATCACTAGACAGAGTACACAGCATGGGTCTGTCAGTATAGAGACTAACGTGCATGCTGTAAATATCTCTTGAGCTTTTGCTGTGCATCTTGTGAAGGTAATGAAACCAAAAGTTTGAAATTTGATGGAAAACTTAAGGAATTACACTATCATGAAGTTAGCGATCTTGGTGATATTTACACATCAGTGATTTTTTCCAATTTGAGCCCTACTTTGAGTGAATTCCATTGTTCCAGTCGACCAAACTCATTGCTATTTCACTAGAATTCCTTTTATTCTATCGATTGAGGACAAGAAACTGCCATTAACCTATTTCAACTACCCAATAAAGTGATCTGTAATTACTAATTTGGTCAATTTCACACAAAATTCAAGAAAGGCCAATTTCTGTAATTACTAATTTGGTCAGTTTCACACAAAATTCAAGAAAGGCCAATTTCAACATAGGGTCCAGCATAAATAGTGCAGACATTCCTGGCACTAAAATAACATTTTGTGTGTTCATTAGTCACCCCTCCAGGCCCCTCTTATATTACACTTGCTCTTCATTTTGAATTTTATTCACACCAAAAATAGAAGATTTGCTGTTATTCAGATTACTGCATAATTGTAATAATTGTATAAATAATATAAGCGAATTTTGTGAATGCATATTAAACCCACCAGTTGATATGTATTGAATGTGTGATGTGATTTGTTTACTCTTGAACATCAGAGCTACTTTGAGCACAATTTCAAGCTACTTTTAGTCTTTAAAACATTGCAAATCATTTCTATTTCTATAATATATCTTCCATTCTATCAAATGAGACCAAAGAAACAAGGATACAGCCATAAATACCATGTGAAAATGCACCGCAAAGTCGCTGCTTTAAGCCAAAAACATGGTCGCATTTTTTTACTCGTCATGCACTGCATGTGCTGCAGGATTTTTTTTTTTATACTGTACACACTGACCATGCAGACCCATTCTCTCACAAGTAGGCCTACCAGCTTTCTCTTGCAAGATTTGAAGCCACTAGACTTTTGCCATTAGCTCTCCTCTGACAGGTAAGAGACAGTTAAATTTTTATTTACTGTACAGGATTTCATTTAGTATTCATTTTTACAGTTTCCATGTGCTGCATAATTTTATACATTGTTTAATGTAGTAATTAGTACATTATTATTAATAAATTATTATATTGTCATTTTTGGTCTGGAGCAGATTAATTCTGTTTACATTATTCTTTATGGGAAAAATTGATTTGGTTGTCAAACCGACATCTGGAATGAATTAAGTTCAACAACCAAGGTGCCACTGTATACACATTGTGTATAAGATATTTAAAGATGAAAACTGTTTTGCCATTGCCCATCAAAGGTCATGATTTAAAAGTGGATTACTCTTGCAGATAGGGCATAGAATATATTGAAAAATTCTTTTATGATGCTTGAGTTTCATTTTTAATATTAGTTTTTGGTTTTCAGATGGCTTCAAGTTCTTCAAATCGGCTAACAATGTGATAATGTGCTCAGGAAATGAAGCTGGATATCTTCCCCCAGAATATTTTCTTAAGGTCGTTGACAAAAGGACTAGTGAGTATTTTGTGTGGTATTTTATGATCAGTGTAGCTATGATAGCTAGCTGTTGACTAATATTGTGCAATGATTAAAAAAAAAAATTAGCTTCCAGTGACTATCCTGATATTTAAATTTTTTTGTAGTATTTGATTCATATAAACAAATGTAATAGGATTGTTTCATTGCAGTGTTGTGTAATAAAATATATTTTACCTTTTCAGACAAGGAGTTGGTGTAGATGATGGACGGCCCTACAATTAACTTGTTTCTGAAAGTATTTTAATATTTGTATCCATATTGCAAGCTATGGATGATTATTGTTATTATTGGCTTGAACAATAATATTAAGCATTTTATTAAGTGAGAGTTTTCAGATTGTGTTGTATTTTTTAAAAAAATATGTTTTGTGCAATAATTAATCAATTTTTTTATTTGACATATTGCATCTCGTATTGCTGACTATACCTACCATCGTGTAAGTTTTTATTTCATTAAGAACAGTTTCGATTGTAGTACATGGGATTGATAAAAACTTATACTGTTCAGTAAATACTGCAGTATGTATGTAACATCACTTCAGTTAGAGAACTAATAATAGTGTTCAGATTTGTAAGTTATTTACAAAGAATGAAAACTCCAAAGTGCATAGAACCTGTATACAAAATTGTATATTAGAGATGCAGTAAGTGCCTTTTTATGAAGTACTGTTAAGTATCCACAATGTCGACGAACCCGATTACGTGTAACTCACTCATTCAGAGGACGTACAAATGCACCCCGTGCAAAACCCAACCCTTGGACAAATTTGCATACATCACACACATTTTAGGAAAACGACATCAAAAGAACCTAAAAAGCAGTGATCATCCACAACCAAATGATGAAGACAACCGTACGATTCATGTCACAGGTAAGAACTGTTGTTCTCACTCATCACATAAGTAGTGTATTTTGCCTTTTGGCCTTTGTACTCTAGTCAGTTGCTGTAATCCTTTCCTAATATAATTGTTCTCTAACAAGTTCAAAGCTAAGTGGAAATTTATTGCTCTGCTTCCTTTTCTTGATGTTCACAATGTTGCTTTGTGACCGGATGTTATTTCTCTCTTACTACAAGCCTGTGCAGAGTTTTATATGCATACTATACATTTACAACATTATTTTTGAAGTATAATCTTATAACCCTTTCAGGGTCGGCAGGTCCTCTCCTAAACTTGTTCTCAGGGTCGGAAATTTTTCGAAAAAAAAAGAAGCTATTTTTTCTTATGAAATGATAGAGAATCTTTTCGCAATCATAATGACACCAAAAGTATGAAATTTGATGAAAAACTTACGGAATTATGCTCTCTCAAAGTTAGCGGTCTTGACGATGTTTACACATTGGCAATTTCGCCCCACTTTGAGCCCTATTTTCGGCCATATCCAATGTACCAGTTGACAAAAATCATAACTGTTTTGCTAAAACTCTATCTTTTCTATTGAATGAGTACAAGAAACCACCCATTTACCGATTTCAACTATCCAATAAAGTGGTCAGAAATTGGCAATTTTGCCAATTTCACACAAATTTCAAAAGATGCCAGTTTCCAAATAGGGTCCAGAATAAACAAGACAGACATTCCTGGCACTAAAATAACATTTTTTCTGTTCATTAGTCACGTCCCTAGGCCTCTCTTACATTTCTTTTGCCTTCCACTTTGAATTTTTATTCTCACAAAAAAATAAAAGGTTTACTGTTATGCAGACTACTGCATTAGTCTAGAAATAGTATAAATAATATCAGCGCACTTGTGAAAGAATATTAGACTCACCAGTTGACGTGTATTGGACGTGTGGCATGATATGTTTACTTTTGAACTTTGGCAAAAATCTAACATTTCTGCTACTTTGAGCTCAATTTCATGGTACATTTCATTGTGAAACCAATCAGAATCATCTCAATTTCTGCAATATGTCTTCCATTCTGTAAAATGAGACCAGGACAACTAGAATGCAACCATAAATAACATACGAAAATACACTGCAAATTCGCTGTTTTAAACCAAAAATATGGAGTTTTTTTTTTTCTCATTATGCACTGTGTGCTGCAGGATTTTTTTTATACTGTGCACACTGACCACATACAGTGGAACCTCAAAAATCGAACTTAATCCGTTGCAGGAGCTAGTTCTAAATTCGAAAAGTCTGAAATTCGAAGCAATATTTCCCATAAGAAATAATGGAAATACAATTAATCCGTTCCAGAAACCCAAAAGTATTCACACAAAAAATACATTTTATAGAGATTAATTACAGTTTTACATACAACAAATACTATAGTTTTTAATTATGTATAGTAATCTTTCTTTCTTTCAACACACCGGCCGTATCCCACCAAGGCGGGGTGGCTCTTTCTTTATGTATGGTAATACATATAAAATAAAATTTTTACTTGCCTTTATTGAAGATTGGTGATGGCATCTGGAAGATAGGGAGGAGGAGAGAGGGAGTTGGGGTTAGTGTTTGGAAGGAGAATCCCCCTCCATGAGGACTTCAGGTAAAGCCCTCTCTGGAGTTACTTCCCTTCTGTCTTTTAATGCCACTAGGACCAGCTTGAGAGTCACTGGACCCCTGTCTCACAGAATAACTGTCCACAGTCCTCTGTTTCTGGTGCCTCTTTAACATTTCCCTAAAATGGGACATGGTTCTGTCACTGAACTTGTTGCAAAGATGGCTTGTTTCTGCTTGCTCAGGGTGGTACTTCTGCACAAACATTTGAACATCATTCCACTTGGCACAAATCTCCTTAATCTTTGAAGAAGGCACCTCATCCACTCCCTATATTAACATTTTCGCAGCATCAGCTTCCTTGATTTGTTCTTTCTTTGGATGTAGCACTTACTCCTTGCTGCATGCTGGAGTGCTGCCAGTGTCTAAGACAGGATAGAACCGATGGTCGACTTGTTTTTCCCATACATCCTGGCAAGTTCAACAAGTCTCACACCACTCTCATACTTCTGTATTATTTCCTTCTTCACATCTATGGTGTTTCTCACTTTCTTTACCACAGGGGTACCACTAGCAAGTTTCTTTGGGCCCATGGCAGCTTATTTCACAGTCCCACAAGCACTAAACACAACGAAATAATCATAAAATGCGTGAATGAGAGCGCAGGTTAGTGTTCACTCAAGCATAAACAAAGCTAGACTGCTCACGGCGCCTGCGCGGGGACGCGGACAGAGCAGGAGGCAGACAGGTCCTGTACCCGGCGGTCCGAAAATAGGTGCGCGTTCGATAATAGGGGCACAGTTTGTCTGAAAAAAATGGTCCTATTTTCGAAACGTTCGATATGTGATACGTTCGATTTTTGAGGTTCCACTGTAGACCCATTCTTTCATATGTAGGCCTACCAGCTTTCTCTCGCTAGATTTGAAGGTGTTAGAATTTATGCGTACTAGTATGGCATCAACCCTGAAAGGGTTAAGAAAAAGTGTTTTGTAATTAACTGTTTCTATCTCTTCTTTGTTCTGTGTATCTCACATTCAGTTTCTTGGGTTGATTTTTTTTTCTCTACACTTGCATTGCTTGTCTTATAAATTTTATTTATCTAGCCTGTTGCTACCTGCATTAGCATGTGTTGCTGACTTTCTCTTCCACTGAACACTACAGCATTAGTCCCTCATGCATAGATCAAACAAAATAAAAAATTGCACAGACAATTCAGATACAGTACACATTGAAGAGTTAGATACTCTACAGAAATATTGCTAACCTCTCAAGGGAGGTAGGTTCCTGAGGGGCTCTTAATTCAAGGAATTGAACCTGAAGACCCTTTCCTAGGGTTGAACATGATTGCCTCGCATTCTCCCAGGTGCTGTATGACCCTTATGAGTTTAACGCTTGCCACATGAGTGAAGATATTAAAAATATTGCCGGAAGCCAAAGCCATAGTCAGCACTTCTCCACATCTCCAGACAGCCTTTCACACAAACATTTTATCACAGTATTACTGTAATTTATTTTTCTTGGTTATTACTGTATGTGTTTGTTTGGTATGTGTATGGCAAGTTCCTACATGCTTGGTAGAGTTTGATAAGGAAATGTTAACATGTTGTTGGCTTGATACATCCTAAGCTGATACTGCCTCCCACATTTTTGCTATTAATGTACTGTCTTTACTTTGATTTTATCAAATGCATTTGTCCTTGGTGTGCATTTATTTTCTCTAGGTGTTGTGTAGTTATAAAATTTGGTAATGAAATGTGGCTTAGCTCCGTAGACCCACAGTAACCCCCCCAGTCTTTAGATGTTTTAAGTAATGACTAACAAAGTGTAATGTAAAATAAAGTGTATTTTATTTGATTGAAGGTGTCTGAAACATCTCTGTTTTTCCTAACTTCACATCATTTACCCATATTTTCACTTTATGGTCTTCATATCATTTAAACCTTTCACTGCCTCCCATGTAGATCTACCTATGCTATATGTGCCTGGGGATCCATTACAGCAAATCACTTAAAGCCAATAATAAATCAACAAGAAGTGGCAGTGCCAGTGATCACTGCCAGACAACACACTCCCAACCTTTCAGAAGCCTAAACCTACTTAATTTACATAACATTTACTCGTTTTACTGTGCCTACTACATATACAGGACAGTAAATTCAAATTCAAATATCAATCCTGACCTGAAACACTTTCTTGATAGTTGCCACAAAACTTGTAGGCATAATGCTAGACACAAATATCTCTATGATATTTCTTGTGTCCGTAAAAACTCACTGTGCTTAAAAGACCTAAAATCTGGAACTCCCTACCTGATAACTCCATAGCCTCTCTATCTGCCCACTGCTTCAAAGCTACTGTAAAAAAAAAAAAAAAGCTTTTCCTCATGTGATCCTAGTAACAATTAACAATGCTGAACAATTCTTTCAGCCTTATATATATAAAAGTACATGTATGTATTCTTGTTCTCATATATACTTGTATTTATAATCTAACTTTAAAGAGACTCTCTGCTTGTTTATTTTTGTTTACCATTGTGTAACACCATTGTAAGACATGTACCTACTCTACACTTCTCCACTTCAGCGACTCCCATTGTCTTTGATTTATTTGTGTTATTTTTCAGATGAAACTCAGTTTTAGAAATTAGAACTGTTACTGTGAATAGTTGCTGCTTTGAGAATTCGAATTCTTGAATATAATATCATCTGATGTAAAAAAATTGTATGGACCTATAAATTACTAGACTATAACCCTAATAATTTTTCTTATAGTCATTTACAAAGATGTATGAAATTTATTTCATCATTTCATTTTTTTATTTGAGCTAAATTTGATGCCAATTGGAATTTAAATTGGTTTGCAGATTCACATCTCATCTACTAGTGTGAGAATTTAGTTATGATTTACACATATTTACATCCTTCATAAACTTAATTTTTACATACACTATTCAGGAAAAAATATGAACATATTTTACATACAACTTTGGATCTACAGGTTTTGATCACACTACCCCAGCAGAGGCGATTATAGGGGCCTTTCTAGAGTATGGAGTGCGGAATATCATCCACCATTTTAACTACAGCTTTGTCGAGTTTGAATCTGCGTAAGTTTCAAAACTTTTATGCTGTAAATGTAGATGATTTCTGAGGTCATCTTTTTTTTTCTTTTATACATGTACTATATCAGCTTTGCTCTTGATGCTTGCTGTTTGTAAGCCAAAATAGCCATCACAGCATAGATGACATGGCACCTTTTGAAGAAACTATCAAGGTTTTCTGTGTATTAAAAATATTTCTCAGATTTGCTGGTAAGAGATTGACAGGTGTTGGATCTTGTATGTTAACATGGTCTTGTAAGATGTTTATGGCACCCCTACAATTCATTACCTTCCCAGTGCTCGTTCATCTTAACCCTTAAACTGTCCAAATGTAGATCTACGTTTGCACGCGTAGCGCTCCAAACTTAGATCAATGTTTTATCTTTCATTCCTTCAAATTTGGCACAATAGGCTTGAGTCGCCTAGACATGAAAGAATGGGTCTGTGCACTCAGTGTGTGCACTATTAAAAGAATCTGGGAGCAGTTAGTACCTTGTGGGAGCACTAGTTCAATTGAGTGCCAGCTAGAGCAAATAGCATGGCAAACACCAGTGATTCACTGATGCCATGTCACATTAACACTCCCATTTTAAGAGGAAAGTAAAAACAGGTTAGATAAATACATGAGTGAGTGTGTGTGGGTGCGAGTTGGACCTGACTAGCTTGTGCTACTAGGTCTGATGTCATGCTCTTTCCTTCAGTGGATGTGACCTGACTAGGTGGGTCATTGGTCTAAACCATTGGGGGAGGGTGACATGTACCTGCCTTGCATGGGCCAGTAGGCCTGCTGCAGTGTTCCTTCTTTCTTATGTTCTTATGTATTCGGCAGGCTGGCCGGCTGGCTTGCTTTGGCTGTCTGGCTGTTTCTCTGTCTATATCTCTATCTGTCTATATCTCTGTCTATCTGTATGTCTGTCTATATCTGTGTCTATATATATATCTGTCTATATCTTTGTCTATCTATATCTCTGTCTCACATGTACACATAAGTACAGTTATTATACATTGTGTAAATTACCTAGGATAACCCAAAAATTCCAGGCATAGACAGATAGACAAACAGACAGACAGAAACATGCTTGTGTGTATCAGTGACAACAAATAAAGCCAGGGTTCCCCGAGCACCCATTTATCAAATGCCACCAAGCTGCTATGAGATGTCATGACACAATTCTTCAAGGAGTGCAAAAGGAGAAAGGAAAAATAAAATATATAACAAGGGAAGGTGGCAGGAGTAGGCCTGCTGAAGCAGGCCTATTCAACAGTTGTGTGACTTTATACATATAAAGTGTAACCACCGACTGTGAAGTGTATTCTATCATAAGTGAAAAGTGAAATCACTTGAGGAACGTGGGATGTACGAGCGTATATGGTTATAAACATCACGGGTGAAGGATTTTCAAAATAGTGATAGAAGGCTTATGTATGACAACTACGTCATCAGCATCTGGCAACCTGTCACTGCACCGCTGCCAGTACAAGTATTGCTCACCTAGTGTGGTTGCATGTTGTCGGGTTCTGGATTCTGGTCTTGCATCACTGTTAGATATTGGTCACTCACTCCTGCAAGCTATTACCAGAATTAGAGTAGAAATAGCGTAGGTAAGGTGAATATAGTGTTGACAAGAGTGTGAGGAGTAGAGCGGTCTAGCGAGACAACCTAAATTTTACAACCTAGTTACTTTCTGTATTTTATAAGTAGAATTGATAAGTGCTAGAATTACTATTATTAAGTTTTAGTATGAATATTTAGAAGTGGGGGCGTACGCACGCGCGCGCTCACACACACACACACACACACACACACACACACACACACACACACACACACAGTGCAGTAGTGGAGGCAGGATCCATACATAGCTTTAAGCAGAGGTATGATAAAGCTCACGGTTCAGGGAGAGTGACCTAGTAGCGATCAGTGAAGAGGCGGGGCCAGGAGCTAGGACTCGACCCCTGCAACCTCAACTACGTGAGTACATATACTCCAGGCAGACAGAAAGACAGATAAACAGAGACATACAGGCAGGCAGATAGACAGAGACAGGCAGATAGGCAGACAGACAGGCAGACATAGATAGACAGGCAGATAGATAGACAGGCAGATAGACAGACAGGTAAATAGACAGAGAGACAAGACATGTTTGTGTGTAACAGTGATAACAAATATAGAGAGGGTTAGCTGGAGCAGTGGGCATTTATCAAATGTCATTGGGCTGTCAACAGTACTGGGATGCCTTTCATAACACCATGCTTCAAGGTATATGCCATGGTATCTAAAACATTGTTGGGACCTATAAATACTTTTTATATATTTCTAGACAATAGGAAATAACCCAGGCAGGTGTAAAAGTTCACCTGTCATTGTGATTGTGACTACTTGAGCACTATTTCAGTACCTAATATTAGTGTCAGAAGAAAGACTGGCTACGAAATTACAAGAACTATTATAAATTGTAATTATCAGAACTTCCCAGTAAAAGTAGGTCTTAGACAGGGATGCATAATGTCACCATGGTTGTTTAATACAGTGGACCCCCGGTTCGCAATGCTATCGGTATCCGATAAATCCGGTAACCGATGCATTATATCGCAGAAAATTTGCCTCGCTTCCCGATACAAAACCCGGTATGCGATGTGGTTCGTACGAGACATGTCCATGTGTGGCCTGAACTGCCCTGTGTGTGCCAGTGTTTACAAGCCAGCCAGTGTGTGCACATCTAAGGATACATTCGGTACATTCCATATTATCCATATTATCGCTGTTTTTGGTGCCTGTTTTTGCAAAATAAGTCACCATGGGCCCCAAGAAAGCTCCCAGTGCCAACCCTTCGAGACCAAGGGTGCTAATGACTATTGAAATGAAGAAAGAGATAATTGCAAAATACGAAAGTGGAGTGCGTGTGTCTGAGCTGGTCAGGTTGTATAGTAAACCCCAGTCAACCATCTCTACTATAGTGAGCAAGAAAACGGCAATCAAGGAAGCTGTTCTTGCAAAAGATGCAACTGTGATTACGAAACAGCGACCGCAAGTGTTAGAAAATGTTGAGAGACTGTTATTGGTGTGGATAAATGAAAAACAGATAGCAGGAGATAGCATCTCTCAAGCAATCATTTGTGAAAAGGCTAGGCAGTTGCATGAAGATATGGTAAAAAAATTGCCTGCAACTAGTGGTGATGTGAGTGAATTTAAGGCCAGCAAAGGTTGGTTTGAAAGATTTAAGAATCGTAGTGGTATACATAGTGTGATTAGGCATGGTGAGTCTGCCAGTTATGTTGTGCAACAGAAGTCCAGTGACTCTCAAGCTGGTCCTAGTGGCATTAAAAGAAGAAGGGAAGTAACCCCGGAAAAGGACTTGCTACCTCAAGTCCTAATGGAGGGGGATTCCCCTTCTAAATGCTAACACCATCCACACTCCCCTCCTCCCATCCCAACAATCATCACCAGATCTTCATTAAAGGTAAGTGTCAATTATTCTTTCGTTATTTATTGTTATTTATTGTTATTGTTGTTATTGTAATTACTATTCTATTGCATTAAACTTAATATTTCATGTGGTAAAAGTTTTTTTTTCATACTTTTGGGTGTCTTGCACGGATTAATTTGAGTTCCATTATTTCTTATGGGGAAAATTGATTCGCTTTCCGATATTTTTGGTTTACGATGAGCTCTCAGGAACGGATTAGTATCATGAACCGGGGGTCCACGGTATATTTATAGATGGGGTTGTAAAAGAAGTAAATGCTAGGGTGTTTGGGAGAGGGGTGGGATTAAATTATGGGGAATCAAATACAAAATGGGAATTGACACAGTTGCTTTTTGCTGATGATACTCTGCTTATGGGAGATTCTAAAGAAAAATTGCAAAGGTTAGTGGATGAGTTTGGGAGTGTGTGTAAAGGTAGAAAGTTGAAAGTGAACATAGAAAAGAGTAAGGTGATGAGAGTATCAAATAATTTAGATAAAGTAAAATTGGATATCAAATTGGGGAGGAGTATGGAAGAAGTGAATGTTTTCAGATACTTGGGAGTTGACATGTCGGCGGATGGATTTATGAAGGATGAGGTTAATAATAGAATTGATGAGGGAAAAAAGGTGAGTGCTGCATTGAGGTATATGTGGAGACAAAAAAACGTTATCTATGGAGGCAAAGAAGGGAATGTATGAAAGCATAGTAGTACCAACACTCTTATATGGGTGTGAAGCTTGGGTTGTGAATACAGCAGTGAAGAGGCGGTTGGAGGTAGTGGAGATGTCCTATCTAAGGGCAATGTGTTGTGTAAATATTATGCAGAAAATTTGGAGTGTGGAAATTAGGAGAAGGTGTAGAGTTAATAAAAGTATTAGTCAGAGGGCTGAAGAGGGGTTGTTGAGGTTTTTTGGTCCTTTAGAGAGAATGGATCAAAGTAGAATGACATGGAAAGCGTATAAATCTGTAGGGGAAGGAAGGCGGGGTAGGGGTCATCCTCGGAAAGTTTGGAAGGAAGGGGTAAGGGAGATTTTGTGGGCGAGGGGCTTGGACTTCCAGCAGGCGTGCATGAGCGTGTTTGATAGGAGTGAATGGAGACGAATGGTATTTGGGACCTGACGATCTGTTGGAGTGTGAGCAGGGTAATATTTAGTGAAGGGATTCAGGGAAACCAGTTATTTTTATATAGCCGGATTTAAGTCCTGGAAATGGGAAGTACAGTGCCTGCACTCTAAAGGAGGGGTTCGGGATATTAGCAGTTTGGAGGGATATGTTGTGTATCGTTATATGTATATGCTTCTAAACTGTTGTGTTCTGAGCACCTCTGCAAAAACAGTGATTATGTGTGAGTGAGGTGAAAGTGTTGAATGATGATGAAAGTATTTTCTTTTTTGGGATTTTTTTATTTTTGGGTCACCCTGCCTCGGTGGGAGACGGCCGACTTGCTAAAAAAAAAAATATGTACAGTGGACCCTCGCCTGACGCTATTAATCTGTTCCTGAGAGCTCAACGTTAGGCGAAATTATCGTTAGGCGAA